CATTTCTAAAAGCTGGAGAGGCTTGATAGACAAGAGCAATTTACAGGAATGTTTAAGGCTCTCTTTTTTAAAGATTTACCTGGACCTTCATCAAGACATTCTTTGGAACACAATTCCCTACTCTGTAACTCATTTATTTGCCACATTTCATTCCTAGAAAGAGAAATTTAATGAATGACATGACAAAATAACACGGCATACTGTCGTTAGCTTAGAGATTTAAACTATTAGTGCTTAAAACAGCAAACAAGTTCCAGAAATGTTGAACACATTCACAGATGCGACCTTTATATCTGATTGCTAAGATGCCCCAACGTTGTTCTGGACCATAACTGTCATAGTTTGGAGTTAGATCTTATCCATTATCTCATTCTTGTAAATCCACATGTTTTCCCTTTAGAACAGAACCCTCAGCTAGGTGCGTTAGAACATGCTGCGTTCCCTTCGGGAACAGAAAGTAAAGAATTAAACCTTATGTGAAGGGACTTCAACATGCTAGAGGGAAAAAAAAAATGAATTAATAAAAAAAAAATCAAGCATCAACTTTATTTCTCGTGGTAAGATCTAGCAAGTCCAAGGCCCTTTTGTAAGTGATGATGCCAGCCAGGTAGTCTGTCCTTTAAGATCTGTGGGTCCCATGTCAAAGCAATTTTTTTTCTATATTATTAGAGGAAGGGAGATCGGTGCCCTGTTAAGATTTTTTTAAGATTAGGAAATAAAAAGCAGTCAGAAAGAGACATATCAACACTGAAAGGTAAATACGTAATGAGTTCTATTAGAACTGTGGCAAAAGTCACCTTTGCAGAGAGGAATCAAAAAGCATGTGGGTGGTCAATTCTCTGGTGATGTTTCCCTGGGTGTATTTCTACTAAAGCTTTGGCTAAAACACTGTAATAACAAGAGGATGTCATCTGTCATGCTTTGACCCTTCAGAAAGTCAATAACTCAGATGCTCTGAGCATCTGAAACTATGATCGCCAAGACTCTGGCTCTTGACCTGCCCACTCTGGCTTCGTCTGGACCACTTCCATCTCTTGGCAGCCATTGGCTTGAATGTGCTTTCTCTTCAAAGCTGTCTTTTATCTCCTTGGACAGTTTTTCCAAGAAATGCTTCAGGATTTTGATCCCACTTGTTCAAAATAGAAAGCTTGGTTTATGTCTGCAGCAAATGTGGGCACAGCAATCAAAGCATCCATCGCCCCACTTTAATGTTCAGTTACAATTGTCTACAACGAACCACTTGAACTGTGTGTGTTCCTGGCTGTTGTTTCTGCTGTTAATTGTGGGTCTTCTTCAAGTAAGGGCTGCACAAAATTAGTTTCTTCCCTGCCAGTTGTTGTGTGCTTCATCTGCAATGTTGTTGCATCCCTTCTTAAAACAAGTGTAAACTTTCTTCGGGGAAAGTGTCCCCCAGAAATTTTTTCCATAAAGATTCAGGTTTTTATATTCAACTACACATATAACTGAAAACAGATTTTTTTTAACACTGGCTTGTTTCATTAATCAAATTTAATTCCAGTTCTGTTTAATTTGATGGGCTAAGTATGCAGGCGTGAAATGGATATCCTGCGATATGTGTGTCATTCTCAGCCCTTGTTTAAAGTCCTGCATAACTGGAGTCTTCCCACATTTTACTTGGTGCATTAAAGCCTGTGATTATAAAGTGGATGGATATTATGTCTTTGTATTGTGTATACATACATATATATGTATATATGCATATGTCTGCGTGCATATACATATGTACTATGTTGTCTATTTCGTAGGCTATCTTTAATTGTACATAATAGAACTATAGCATGGCTAACTGTTACTTTGACATGGTATGCTTATTAATCATTTACAAAGGTCTAATAGGGGAGCATGGGGTTAGTATAGCAGTCTACTAATTCATTAATGGTCCAGGATGCTCCATTCCATTCACCTCGTTGTCCTGATAACTTAAGAGAGGAGTTTGACTTCAGAATGACTTACCTGTCACTGCCTCTGTGATTTTATGGGGAGTGCATGATGAGATGCTCTGTAAACTTTAGGATTCTTGGTTTAATGTTAATCATAGCTTTGTCCATTTGCTTTTCTATGGAGAAGAAGATAAAATCCAATATCCTGTCATTGTTTTGATATGAAATTATTTAAAAATATTTTCCTTGAAACCTGACAGGTTGCTATGAGGGATAAGCCTGCATGTTTTATGTTAATTTGGAGATTCTCCAAGCCATGGAAATAGAAAGCCCGTGTACACGGTAATTATGGTATCTCTGCATTCTCCCACCTTAAGCCTTTACCGAATCATTTACATGAGTCTTTCATCCTACGTAATATACTGCCAGAACACAATATGCTGGAAAAGCTGTGCTAGGCTAGTGCAGTAATGACTGAAGACAGCAGTTGTCAAATGGAAATTAATTGATTATAATTGCTTTGCCATTGTCTAACGTTTGGAGTCTGTAGCTTGTTAAAATCGAGATCATACAGTAAGGCTCTCACTTTTTAAGCTGTACATTATGTTAATGAAAAGCTGTTCTTAGAGGAGTGATCAGTGAATATCAATAAATGTATAATAAGAAATTAAAGGAAAAGTTAACTAGTTGATCATGAGTTAATATATTTCAGCAATCACAGTAGCAGTTAACTGTGTGGCATTTCATATTGAATTTTTTTTTTTTTTGCCCGGAGCTCTTGAATTTTAATATTTCCCACAGAAGCAGAGGCTGAAGCTGTGTGACTCTTGAGTATATCCTGTCTTGAATAACAAATATTCGCGGTAGAGAAGATCTCCTGGAAAACAAAAGATGTGTGTGTTTTCCAAATGGTTGTTTTGTTCCAAAATATAACAAGTAGGTATTTTAAAATGGAAAAAAGTACAAGCTCTACCAATTGTAACATCAAAAAAGATAGATCATTTTTTCCTCTAAAATTCATAATACATGGATAGTATGATAATGTCCATTGCTTTTGCAGTGTTCATCAATGTGAAGGATCCTGCAGTGATAGGATAAATGTGAAATTATACCTAACTTTTGGCAGGAAGAGATTACAGAAGATCACACTCACATTGACAGAACTGCAAGTCTTTGCAGAGGAGAATGCAGAGTGTCAGGCTTACCATGTACTGCCCCTGCTTCCTATTTCTATAATGTAGGGAATTCTAAAATTAATGTAAAATATGCTTTTCTCTTATTAATTTTTTATAGAAGATTTATTTATTTTTTATTGCAAAATCAGATATACATAGAAGAAGAGATATATAGAGATAGATCTATCTGCTGGTTAATTTCCTAAATGACTGCTGCTGCCAAAGCTAAACCAATCTGAAGCCAGGAGTCTCTTCCAGGTCTCATGTGGGTGCAGGGTCCCATGGCTTTGGGCAGTCCTTTACCACTCTTCCAGGCCATTAACAGGGAGAAAGATGGAAAATGGAATAGCTGGTACTGGAACCAGCATCCATATAGGATTCCAGTGCAAGAAGGGTGAGGATTGAATCATTGAGCCATTGTACTGGGCCCTAGTGACTTGATTTGTTTTATGGAAAACATCATTGTTATTTTTTAACCAATATAATATTGTAGGTGTACAATGAAGTCTTTTATAATCTTTACATTTAAATGTTTGGTGATATTAGAAAAAGATCAGATTTATCCGAAGAATGTTCAGGTAACAGTTTAGATCATGGCTCAGTTCCTTCTCTACAGGAACTTGGAGATTAAAAAGGCAGCTAGAGTTGGGAGCAAACTCTTACTTGTACAGCTGAATGCAGTGATGCAAACAATAAGAGGCTCTGTAGAGACACAAGAGGAAGATCCTCTAAGCTCTAGAGGATTTCGGAGTGTCTTCCAGGAAAGGAACTGCCAGAGGAGTGGGTGTCTCACAAAGAAGGCACAGGGAATCTGCTTATGGAATTTGGAGGAAGTTAGAGTTGGGTATTGCACTGTGGACTTGGACTTCCTGAAGAGGTGTGTCTTTTGATATATACCCAGAAGAGATCCTTTGGAGGATTTTTAGCTGTGGGGGAGACATGAGTGGGTTTCCTTTTTGAATGATCACTTTCCTGTCTCCTATCATTTTGGATTTGGAGCAGGGTGGAAACTCATTGACACCATCAGTAAACTGGTTTGATACACCCTAAGTTTAATGCTATGATTAAAAGCCTAAACGCTGAGCAGTTTATTTGTCTTTCTTAAACACCTTTTTTTTCTTAAATGCTACTGAGAAATTATTGCTAGTACTTCAGTTGTTCCAGAATTTATGTTGAGCATATGTCTGTATGGTAAGAGCATGCATGCTGCAGGTAGCACAGATTGATGGATGGAGTCATATTTGGGGGCATATATAAAAGATAGCTTCACTTTTAGTATGTGTATGTATGTGATTATGACTTTTAAAAAGTACATGTTCAAGAGAATGCTAAAAAGTGGCAAGGGTTTGCCCCTGTTAAATATTTACCGGAAACATTCTTCACCTCTGAGAATCTGTTTCAGAATTTGAAACATTTGCATTTTAATTACACAATAAAAGAAGAAAATGAAAGAATAATTGGCTGAGCTATCAGCCAATTATAGCTGTAACTAACATCAACAAAAAAATCCCCTTAAAACTGACGTTGGTTTCCAAGGAACAATCACAATATGCACTGATCAGATGTTTAATGACATTTGGCAACAACAAAGGGACAGGAACGTGTCAATCCTTCATAGGACATGTTTGTTAAAATGGAAATTAATGACACAGATTTGGAGTTGTATGACTCAGGATCCTGCAGCTTTAATTGTTCATCTGTCCTCAGACAGGGCTTGGCTTATTCCAGTGAGCAGAACCTAGTGGAGAAAAGAGACAGTAGAATACAGTAGCTCTAGCCAGCCATATTTAACCAGTGCCACAGAGGGTTCAGTCCTGTCCCTGAAGTCCCTGCAATTAGAGGATGTAACCCAGGCCTGGGTGATGGGAGGAAGTGGCATCCCAGCGCATGCTGACCGCTTTCCTGTCTGTGCCTTCCTTGACAGATACCACGACATATTCCACAGAGCGGTCAGAGCACTTCAAACCCTGCCGGGACAAGGACCTTGCATACTGTCTCAATGACGGCGAGTGCTTTGTGATTGAAACCCTGACTGGATCCCATAAACACTGTCGGTAAGCCACTGCAGCCGCTGACTCAAAGGCAGCACCGGGGGAGAGGTCTGGAGGTGGAGGGAGGTGGGAAACTTTGGGGAAAAAGTGTGATACCTGGTTTTCATGGTCCATCTGTATTAATGACAGAATCAAGTGTTCACATGAGAATGGGAAAACCTATTTCTCTACTGTTTGAGAAAGAGGAAAAAAATGCAATGAAAAAGTTGACCAAATTACAGAATATTTACTTCTTCATCTTCCAATTTACTGGAAACGATTGTCTACTTATTTATAGAGTCTGTTTATGGTATGAGACTTACGCGGACATGTATCCTGGTAACTCAAGCATAATTCCCAATTTTGCAAATCTCAGAATAGTGGCAAGAGAAGCAACCTGCTCATGTATGATATGGTGTCTTGGTGTTTTTTGGGACCCAAGCTATAGTCCCCATAACCGTGTCCTGTCCTAAGGACAATGCATTTTATGTTGACTCTACCCTTACTCATTTCATTGGTTCTTTTCAACACCTGTGATGTTGAAACACTCTTCATTCAGCAAGATGCTATACTCTAGGTAGAGAACTACTTGGGAAGAAATCCCAGTAATGTTGAAGAGGGTGTTTAATTGTTTTCTAGAGACGTGAGGTTATATAATTGCTAAAAATAAAAACAAGCGGAGATAAATAGTGCACTTGTAGACTGCAGCTTTAAGGCCCAATAGAAGAATCAAATTAGCATTCAGAAAATATTTCCTGCAGAGGTTTTATTTCCAGCACTACCCTGGTAATTTGTTTTTCCTTGCCATTGTGTATGCTTCGCTGATCATCTATATCCACACCCCTTCCCTTCCCTTTATTTACTCTTCTCATATGACATAGTTATTAAATTAATTATTCTGAATTGTGAAGCATGGAAAATTACGACTTTTTTTCCCCTCTCCGTTGCTATTACAAAACTTTATTCCCATGTTGCTTTTATTAAGATGGTACAGAGAAATACATCTTAGAGTTAGGAATTTAGGCCTTGACAGCAGATCCTGCCAGGCCAAAGAGCCTTCATGTCTTTCCAGAATGGGCTGCTAGGCTACAGCTTTGGGTAAACTGAGGAAACATGTAGCAGGCAGGTCTTTGTCAAATTTATGATATGGGCTGTGTCAGGGTGACAGAGCTGAGACCTCTTCTAACCCCGTGTTTATTCTCCTTACAAAATGTGCAACCTGTTGCTGTCCCTGTTGAACTCAGGTTCAGGATAAACATGGGGTGGGGATTGCTCCTTCTGTCTTCTGGCTTTGTGTATCTTGTCTGAGAAGACACAGGTTGGAAGCACACTGTGATTTTATGAGCTCAAGAGAAACTCCTGAAAAAATATAATATGTATCAAAGGTCTTTGGGTGACTTAACCAAATAGGGAAGTGGCATCAGTTGCTTTCATGAGGTCCCTGTGCAGAAATGGATATTGTGGTTTGGACGTGGGAAGAGCGCACTTCCAAGAGGTTCCTATGCTGCAGCTGGATCCCCAGTGAGTCGCTGTAGAGGTGGGCGTGCCTAGAGGGGTAGGTCACTGGGGACAGTACACAGCTGCTCAATGTTCCATCCTCAGGAATGGATGAACGCCACCTCCTGTGAACAAGCTAGGTCTGGTGTGGCTGGGTTAGTTCCGCTGTTATGAAGAGGCAAGTTGCCTCCTCCCCTGGAGCCTTTGCCTTCCCTTCTGATACACAGGCACTACATGCACAGAGCAGCGTTCTTTTCTCTTTCTTGGGATGCAGTTTCTGAAACAGGAGCTAAGTTCACTGCTTTACGCTTTGCCCAGTCTTGTTAGATCCACAGAAAACAAAGGTTTGGACAAGCAATTGAGTTTCTGTTCCTAATCCATTGAAGATGTGGGGAATCCGAAGTATCTTTTATTGCTGGTGCTTTACACCAAGAAAGGATCAGCTCAGACTCCATCACAGTGAGACAGATAGAGAGAAGAAAGAGCTGTTCCAATCACCGGTTCGCTCCCCAAATGCTTGCAAAAGCCAGGGTTGGGCCTGAGCAAAGCTAAGGGCAGGAAACTCTTGTCTGGATCTCCCACATGGGAGGCTGAGTCCCCCAAAGTTGAGCTGTCATCTGCTGTCTTCCAGCATGGGTTAGGAGGGGCAGTGAATGGAAAGCGCATGTTGGACTTAATTTCGGATACTGTAACAGGGCATCTGAAGTTGCAGCTATCTAAAGTTATCTGCAGGCGTCTAAATTTGCAATGTCCACCTCCACAACATTTTGTTCCTCTACAAAGACAAAATTTATATTTGGCTAGGATCCACCCTAATGATCTTACTTTAGCTTAGTTTCCCTTCTTAAGCCTTTATTTCTAATATATTCATTTTCTGTGGTGCAGGAAGTTAGTACTTCAACATGTGGAGTTTTTATGGCTGTGGCACAGAACAGTTTGGGTCTCAGGCCCAGAGAAAAAGTTCTTTGCTTTCAGGCATATGTTGATCTTTTAAAAGTCACAAGGAGAAGAGATATATCTGTGGTTCAGCTGGACTGAGGTGCATATGTAGTAATTTTGGCTTTTGTCTTCATATTTCTTACATATTTCAGTACAGACAACCTGTTATTTAACATAGAGTGACAACAGAGCTAATCATGACAAAAGACCAGGCCAGGACAGAGTTGGAACTCTGGTTAGGTTAATGGATGTCTATAAATCTCCTACTAGTACACATGAATAAATCACACATCACATGTGCATGCTATTCATCTCTCGGGCTCTCCTGTGAATCAAAGGCTGGCACGTGTTCCTGCATCCGCCACTTTAAAAAAATTCCAATGCTGTTGTATTAATAGCATGCCATTTTGTACAGCACTCTCTTTAAGTAGTGTGTTTCTTCATTTTCCTTCCATTCCACAAATGTTTATTGAGTAGCTCCTATCACCAAGATACTGTTGAATAAATACATGCAGCAATGAATGTAAGAATTAAATGGCACTGCACTTTGTAATGTGTTTGGAGAAGTGAAATACTTCATCGTTAGGAGATAATGCAAAGAAAGCGGAGTACTTTAGAATGACAGACGTGCTACCAGGGGCATCTTTATGACCTGTTACTTATGGGATTGTATTTCCAGTTCAGTAAGACACCATTTAGCAGATGGGAGCAGTGGCATAAAGCCTTGTTCATGAATGGAGCTTACTAAGTGGTTTTTTCCTTTGCTTCAAACTATTATGCATACAAGGCTGAGAGAAATTAAGATTTTATTTTCTAGATTATAAAATCAACTGCAGCTAAGCCACCCCTTTGGAATCCCTCCTCCTTTTTAGAATACCTGTTTTGGATTCCCGCTACTCCGCTTCGAATCCATGTTCCTGTTAATATGTATCCTGGGTTGCTGAGAGTGATGATCTCAGCATTATCAGAAAAACTAATAAATATCAGTGTCATCCTAGCTCACGCCAACGAGCATAGTTATTCTCAAAAATCTAAAAATAAATAGCGTAAGGGTATTGTAGAATGCCAAATGATATAGTATGGTGTTTCTTCAATCTCAATGTCCCGTAGATGACAATTACATATTTGAATTTTGTTCTGTTCACCTAACATGCGTTTAATAACATTTAGATATTATTATTTGAGAGAGAAGGAAAGGGCAGGAGAACACGTAAGAGTGCTGTCATTCGAAGCTGTTCTGTGTTGAAGCTGGCAGGCTAGGACACAGTTCCATCCATGGTGTTGGATGGCACGTGCTTAGTTGCCTGAGCCACTGAGTCCTCCTGGAGGCTGCATTGGTAGGAGACTAGGGTCTAGAATCCCAGCTTGCAATTGTCCCAAGGTTCTCCGATAAGCGGTTTAGTTGTGTTTATAGCTAGGCTAAACACATCCTTTGTATGCGATGGTTTTAAAAAGCATATATTCCGTTTGGTGAGGTTACAATGAAAATACTTATGATAAAACATTAGAAGATTCTAGGCTCACATTGTTAAACTATTTGATGAAGGCGTCTTTCAGTAGGACTCAGAAACCTCGTATTGTGTAGAAGAATCTAACCACAGAAAGGCGTGTGACTTCTCTGTTGGTGTGCTCACTGCAGTTTATGATAACAGCAAAAACCAGCAAACATCTGCATTAAAATGTATCATTAGAATGCATCTGTACATTGAATGAATTCTAAAAATTGTTTTAAAATGTTTATTATGTCACGGTATGTATGAAGGTGAAGTGCTTTAATTGTGGGGTTGATATGTGTGAAAAGAACTGGATGAAAAAAGGCTGCATCAGCAAGTGTTTTCTTCTTTGAACCTCGTGAGTTTTATGTTTGCCACATAACACATGTATTCCATTTATGTAACCCTTGTTAGACATTTGACGTTTCTTCTCATTTTTCCATCAAGATAGATAGTGCCCTGTTTCTGCTAAATCAGGGCTATTATAATAAATTTTTTATTAGGCTGATAAGCAGATTCAATTAGGTGCTTACGGATTAAGCACTTTCAAGTCTGTTTGAAAGTGTCTGTTCCTTCTTAATAGTAATAATTCACCTGCATGCTTTATGATAATTCCTATGCATTTTAAAATCATGTCTTGAAAGCATAAACAAGTCGGTTTGAAAAATAGAAAGATGCGTCCAACAGAAATGAATCTAGCTAGAAGACAGGAAGAAGTTATTAGAAACTGTTTGAATCAAAATATTTGAATAATAGAATAGCCTATGATCTCTTTATTTTGTGTCCTTTCTAGACATTTCCAGAACTTGCAAAATGGTACTTTCTGTAAAATATTCCAGTGAAAAAAGGTAGTCCTGTCACCAAAATGATCGCTAGGCATTTGAATGGAAAAAATGTGTTTTAGGGCCAAATTCAAGTTAAAAGTGTGTGTGCGTTTCTTCTGAATTGGAGTCCATTCAGTGTTTCACCGGACTTGCCACAAAAGTGGATTTTCAGAAGATGGGAAAGGATAGCATTTGAGCTGAATTTGATGTGTAGTGATCATTCTGGAAATCTATCACACAATTCACTTGAAGATGCTTGAGTCACTTGATC